CCACGGTCCAATATTGTCAGAATCAGAATTAATCTGGTACCGCAGCTGAATGTACATAAACAGGCCAGTCTGGTTCCCTCTCCTGCTTTACCTCGTATGTGTAGAGAACTACGGTAACACTGATTATCAAAAATCCTTACGCTAATGAACTATGTTCTTTGACTTATGAAGTTTTCAAAGTCATAACTACTTATGTTTATTTCATATAGATAAAACTTCGTTTTATTTTTGTTGCTTTATTTAGCGTTTGTATTATCTCAAACGCGGTTGAGAGTAAGAACTATATTTTTTACACGTAACTTTAAAATGGCGACTATGGGGTCAACATCCTGCCTTGAACAGGATCACATAAGCCGGCAGTTGCTCTTTGAGCAAAAAGCCCGGATAAAAATGGAGGTCGGGTCCCCAGAACCAACCGGTTCTTTGTTTACAATGAATGTTATAAGTATATAAAAATTACCTTATCAGCCTTTAATTACAATCGTAATAATTACTGAACAATTTCATGTGTATTTTTTCAAAAAAAAAAAATTAGTTGAAATATTGAACATTAAATTTACAGACTCAAAATTAAAATCCACAGCCAAGTAAGACCATGAAAAACACATACGCTCAAGTTTTCTTTTTTTGTAAAATTATATGTCTCTCACATCCTATGACTAACACTATATTAATGAAAAATGTCAGCTTTGGTACTTTTCTGACCAATTATTATAGCTCGTGCAAAATTTTACCGGGGGGGGGGGGATACAGGCACGTAGCAGCTGGTGGAAGCGCTCCCCACACTTTTTTCCCAAACATCTCTTTCCTTTTAAAAATCTTCGTTGAAAGACCACCGATTGCTTCCTCTCCCTTTTTGTTACAGTAAAGCCAAGCAAGGCTGAAGTCGTATCGTATGAATAAAATTTGGTACTGAAGGAAGTGGAACCTACATCGTCTTCCTCCAACTAAATAGAAGTGTCGTTTTTTTTCTCTGGCTTGCCCCCCCCCTTCAAAAACGATGGTACGTCACGATTATATTTATAACTATTTCCATGTATGTATGTGGAGACATTCTTATTCTACTTTTTATTTTAATTAGAGGAGGAATTGACCTTTTAAATAATATTGCAAGAATAAATAATCTATAGAATATATATACAGGCATCTGACGTTACATGTACTCATTTTTCGTTTAATAAAAAAGAATATACCCATACCTAAAAGAAAACTAAGTTACGACAGGTTCCTGTGGTAGTACCGGTATCTGTAAAGAACAATTTTTTTTGAACAATTAATTTCAGCTTTGATGTCTTGTATAAAATTTTCTGCTATTCTTTATTTGATAATTGGATATTATTTGTTAATCAATTGTTTGTCCTGTTCAAACCCGATATACAGGGAATATACTGTTTTCCCCGCCATATTTATACAAACACTAAACAACACAAGATGTTTTATTTAGATCACTTGAGTTCAATCAATGAGCATGCGCATATTTAACACTAGTGCGACACGGGTTGTCTTAATCGAATACACTCAAGAGGTTTATCGCAAGCTAATGAAGACAGCGAAGAGGTTCAAAATCACAATACTTTTTATTAAAAAGCATAGAGCACAAGGTTGTTTAACAAAGATATTTTTACTCAACATTTACACATATAATATACTCATTATATATCAAACTCGATTCTGAACAAGCCTGTGCTTGGTGTTTACGAAAGCTTCAATGTGTGTACCTGTCACTGATTTCTTTTGATATTTATGAAAATCAAAGGACCCCAAGTTCAAAACGTAGATTCGTTTGCTGCGTATATCTATTATTTGGCATTTTTAGATGAAGACTCAAATAATAAAGACATTAGTTAATATAACATTTAATTCTTAAGGCCTTTGATAAATGTTCGAAATTTGACGAGTAACAGGAACCACAGATAAGCCTTATTGAGACTTGTCCTTTATTAGGGACATTCGATCCTGAGATTTTGAGCATATTTTGGTCAGGTCCTTTATTTATAAAATTCTGCATCATTTTTGAGTTCTAACATTAAATCTGAATTCTACAGTGCAAATTAAACTATATTCAATGAAAAAACCGCGATTAAGTTCCCTTCAAGTAGAATTAAGCTAGGGACTTTATTTTGTTGGGGAAGGATTTTTAGACGAAAATGATCAGTTTTCCCATTTTGAACTATAACAGTGCTGTTAATTTTGGATTCCTATTTTACCATCCTAGTTGCACACAAAGCTGTTTTTGCAGTGAAATGTGTTATACTGGTTCTTAAATATCTATTTAATTATTTCCTATGAACTCTTTACCAACGAAGTGTGACAAATATAGTAAATATATTCTGAAAATCCAGGGAAAAAATTGAGCCAATTTTAACGTAAAATTGACATTTTTTTTTGGTAATATCTGAAAATTTACATCACATACCCCAAATTTTGATGTTCTTTTCTAAATATTCAAGATAAATTTGACCTATTTGCTTAAAATCAGAAAAAGTTTTAGACTTTAAAATAATTTTCTTGCTTATTAAATTTTCAGTGCCAGAAAAATCACATTTTATTAGTGCAGAAAGGTCAAATAATTGATTGTCGAAGCAATTTGAAACTTTTTCTGAGTCACAAGTTTTAAGTGTCTTTTTTAAACAAATTTAGAGTTCATTTTGTTTCATGCTTTAATTGGATAAAAATATTGGAGGGAAAAGGTTAAAATGTAATTTTAAATTAAGACACAAATTTTAGTGCAAAAAAGTAAAATTAAATGTATTGAAGCGCCAAAAGAAGCGTATTGACCCCCATTTCTTGATTTGAATTTTAATCAAGCTAAGTATACAGAAACTAAAAATATACTTGGAAAAAAAAGTTTAAGACTTTAAATATCAGGATCGAACGTCGTTAGAGTAATTGGTTTGTTTGTAAGATTCGATGCGGACTTCAAAAGTGGAATTACCTGACAACCCATGGTAAGAACTAGCTATCCAAAAGGTGCATAAAGCAAACTTTTTGCAGGGAAAAGAAGATATTCTTGAAGTAGCCGAAGAACTTGGCAAATGAAACAGAAGCTAGTAGAAGTATTATGAGGTTAGGTACAAGAGGAGAATACATTTCTTGGCGCACAAGTGAAAAGTATTCTAGAAATTGATGTACATGTAGTGGTGGATGAATAGTAAATTGGAGAAAATTGAGACATTCAGATCCTCATCACCATCAATAGAAACCCAGGAGAAAAACAAGTTTCCGTCTCTAGGAAAGAGATAAATTTTAGTCCTGCGAAATTAATCATCAGACTGAACAGGCTTTATAACAATTGCTATCACAAAGGCGTCGGAACCGGAAGAGCTAGGTGGTTATCTTTTTCCAAAGATAAACTTCGTATAGACTTTTAACATCATGGCATTGGTTTATACCCCCACTTTCCGCAGGCAGGTTGCAGTATGCACTGGTGGATTAATATATTTAGAGGGGGACCAGGGGCTCGCCCCCATTTTGTGTAAAAAAAAAAATTATTTGATAAATCAATGTTTTTGGTGTGGTTTTATGCTCCCAACCCGGCCTTAATCTAGGTGCCCTCCCCCCTTTTTTAGAATTTCTGGATCCGCCACTGGAATAGGGTAAAATAGGGAAAGTGGCGGTGTTTAACATTGTTATTGTGTAACAACTTTCAAACAATTAAATTTGGTTCGTGTTTTAAACCAGATGCCATGAAATTCACAATTCACAATTTTGAAAGAGGCACCATTACTTCTCATAATTATCAACTTAGCATGCTTACGTTATTTACTTAATACCCGGAGGGAGATCAGAGTAACAAATTAAATAGAAAATGCACTTCTACTTTATATACAGTTAAGCACCTTATCAAAAAAAAAAACTCTGACCCAGGGGCCACATATTTCAAAATTTTGCAACTTTTATCATAAAAAATGTTGATTAATACATTAATACCAAAGAGCAGATTTCAAAGCATTGATTTATTTTCAGACTATGTAATCTCCACCCCAACCCCCCTTACCCAGGGGGCATAAAAAACACCACTTTGCTAATTGTACCTTTCTTTATCATAAATATATATACTTGTGTCATTGGCATAAAACCCAGGAGCAAAGGAAAATATTATCAAAGAATTAACTAATGTATTTTTCACTATATAACCAATAGAGCCCCGCCCTAACACCAGAAACCCTGATCCTGGGGCCATATAATTCAAAATTTTGGAGGAGGCACTCTTGCTCATCATATCTATGTACTTAGTTTATTTAATACCCAGAAGCAGAAAAGAAGATTTTTAAAGAATTTATGCATTTTCACTTAAAATTCAATAGAGCCCCGCCCTAATACCAGAACCCCTGACCCTGGGGCCAAAAAAATTCACAAATCTGTAGGAGGCCCTCTTGCTCATCATAACAATGCACTTAGTTAGTTTATTTAATACCCCGGAGCAGAGAAGAAAGATTTTCAAAGAAATAATGCATTTTCACTATATTATCTATATTTTTTGTAGAGGGCTCAATGCTCATTACATTCATGGCAACAGTTTGCCTGCTTGATGTCCAAAAGTAAAGAAGATTTTTAAAGATTGCAATAATCTTAGTGTTTTTGGCCCAACCCCTCAGGCCCGGGGGGGGACCATGAAATTCATAATTTTTGTTCCCCTTCACCCATAGATGATGTATACCGAATGTGGTTGAAATTGGTTCAGTGGTTTCTGAGAAAAAACTGAAAATGTTCAAATGTTAACACACGACGCACGACGACGGACAAAAACGGATAGCAATAGGTCACCTGAGTTACTCAGGTAACCTGAAATATCCCCCAGGTTTTTTGGGCTTTTCAGGTATTTTTGAAGGTCTAAAAAAATTCTTACAGTTAGCCCCCCCCCCTTTCAACTTGCTGGTCACATAGGAGCATTATCAAACACATTACAGTACAACACCAAAGTCTGTGCTGTATGAATCAATACATTCAACTGCGCAATTCGTCCTACTTTAATGCGTCAGGGTCAAATGATAATTGTTTACTATTTTAGGAGTCCTGGCCGACAAGTTGAAGTAAACAGTGCAAGAAAGGTACCTTGAATGCTATGCAAAGAAAGTACCACTTTACGTCTTGCATGCATCTTTATAATTAACATTATGTTTAATTTCGGGTGATTTTATGTTTATTTTTATCTTTCATTTTACAAATCTTTTTAAGCAGCTGGGGACTTTGAAGTTTATCTAAAGGATACCAAATACTTATTTTTTCAGCACTGACCAGTGTTGGGGACATATACCTAAATGTAGGATTTAAATATCTTGGATGTATCGGAAAAATCATTCATATGTGCATATTCCTCGGCGAGGAGTCGAACGCCCAACGCCGAGATCTTCGATCAGACGCTCTATCGACTGTGCTACCACAGCCGACTATTTAACATTGTTTAAAATCCTACATTATCTAAGTTATTTTTTAAACTCAGCTATTTTTAAGAATTAAAAATTTCCTGGGATTTACTTTCGTTTTCATTTACTCATAATTGATTTAAAAATCGGTCAAGTTCTCTATATATAATAATCAACATATTAACATATTCCATGCTTATTACAATATTTGTATAAGAGATAGTTAAGTCTAAGTGCCTGAAAATTTTTTTTCTTTTATTATACATCTAGCTCCAAATCATATTATTGAACTATTTACCGTTTGAAATTAAATTAGCTACATTATCTCTTTTCAGATTCTTCTTGAGTTCACGATATTCTATCCCTTTGTTAAACATTACAGTCATGATGTCCTATTTTGCATGCAACTCATTCCCGTCTAGTCTTTATTTACGGTGAACTGAAGTTGGTTTAAGTTTTGAGTTAATAAGCTTGTTAAGGAAATGAGAAATCTTCGACTAATTAGTTTTACTTTGGTATGTTTGTGCGTCTGAAAGGATGGGGGTCCACATGACGTGTTCTTAAAATTATATTTTTATATATAATTATGTTTTTTAATATTCTGAAAAAGTAAATGTGATATTTTTAGTGTTAAAAATAGATACAAGATCATGAGAAACTGTTAAGTATACACGGAAATCCTGCAAAACCGAGAGTGACGTATCAGGAAAGAAGATGTGAATAGAAAGAAGCATTTGAAAAGCATACGTTCGGATCTTAGTTTGACCATTCAGTTAGGATCATTATCTTCACCTTATCATTCAACGCCGCACATTAATGTACATGGGGAATTATCCGCTATTTCTTTAATATAAATTACACATTTGTTGAATTAACAAGTTTCGATTTCGGACTTTTTTCTAGTTCGCCTCATAAGAATTTACAAATTTACATTTCTGTTGTTTTAATGAAATTAAACTTCGAAATAGATCGCCTACTTTACTTTTAGTTTTAAACTTTTACTCTATTGTAGGATTATCAAGCTTTTGGACGAAGTACATTTTGTGACAACTCTTTAAAAAGAACTCTTTATGGGATTGATATAAAGGATTGCACTTCGAGATTGTTTCCTGCACACATTATGCTGTTTATAAAAACACTTTGTTGTCTGCTAATTCTTTTTTATGATATGCAGGTAATTTGTACTTACTCACTGCTTTGATTAAAATTGAATTGTATATTCTGTTGTAAAAATAAATAATTATTATTGGGAAAATTGAAAATGGATAGATATATCTCATAAAATAGCAAATCTGATATCAAATTATCAAGTAGTGTAATCTTTCCATTGACTCTAGCAACTGAACTCATTAATTGTTTTTAGCTTATTTATATATCTTCCTGTCACATCTTGTAGGTTTTGTGTGACACTAACTGCCCAAGCATACAGCAGACTGCCAGGCTTGTTTATGAATGTCCAAAGAGCGAAGTAGAATGGAATGAAGCTGCTACCAGAATGAACTGCAAATATATAATGCAAAATTGTTTACAACAAAGCCAGTATAAATACCATTGTGCTTTGAATGTCTTTCTAAATGAATCGTGGGAATTATGTAGCATAATGAAATACATGCTCGGTAATTTAATTACTACGTTTAGCTTATCCTATTTCTTTTTTTTTCTTTTCCATGACATATATATTAACGACTGAAAGACTATTTCACTTTGAATGCGAATATTAAAGTTGTGAGTTTGATTCTGTATTGACTTTAAAAAGACATGTTTTATTTACAGTAATATATCAGTTTATCAACTTTGTATCTATAAAAAGTTGTTGATAGCCAAAAATGTCATCTTTTATCGCAACTAAAAAAATCCTTATTTTCAAAGGTTATTGCATGGAATACAATGTAGAAGGACAGAGAATTCAAAACAATTATCATCGGAAATGTTTGGTTTTGAATCCCCCTTGTCCAATAAGATACAAATCAACAGAGGCACACAAATGTAAAACGTTATCTTTATTTTTTTTGTTGATACATTTATAATAGCATCTGAGATAAGAAGAATGCAGTAGTAATCACATTACTGTGCTGAAAAATCCTTTTTTTAAAAACAGATCTAGAATATAAGTAAATTACCATGTCTTGGCAATATTTTCACAATAGCGAGTAATCTTGCTTTGATTTTCAACATAAAGGTTACTTTTTTTTCCAGATCAATCCTGCTATACAAAAGTGAAGAAAAATAGTCTCCTTACCTCTATCCTTTCTGAAACGACTTTAAAGCTGGTCGTTACTACAAACAGCAACAAAGACAAGTAGGTAAATCATGTATCGTAATGCTCTATCAATATCCATGCGTGTACATAGTTGTCAATACCGATGTCCATGACTACGCTTAAGTCTTTTTGAACTGTTTAAAAGTCCCACCACATTTACTTTGTAACACTGTGGACTGGAAAGATTTCAAACACTATCGACATTGTCATTATATCCATAGGAAAAAGCTGCCCCTATAGTTTTCGAACCCAAAATTCTCCTTATTGTTCACGGAAAGGTGTACTCAGTGACGGACTGTTGTTGAGGTGATAAATCTTTTCGAGAATTCTAACTTGCATTGCCAAAGAGAATTGTCAGGTGAATCAAAATGTTTGTATAAAAGCTGCTGACCCTATGATTTATTTGAAATAGATGAACTGATATTCTTGTATTATTAAGTGACCTCTTGGTTTCAACAACATAAACAAGACCACACATAGTACATTCTATTCCATTGACAACAATAGACGATTTGCAGTTCAAATTTTCCCAAATTTTGGTATAGAAGCTCTTTCTAGATTACTGGTGAAAGACGTGCTAGTTATCAAAATTTCACAGGTTTAACAATTTTACAGAACATTTTGAAATAGAAGACGAATTTATGAAGATTTATTATTGATTTACAGGAATCAAAACGGAGATTTACAAAGAGTTTGGATAATTGTTGTTACGTCAATTGTTTTCGTAGGAATAGTTGCAGTGATTGTATATATAAGGTGAGTACATCCATAAATATATGAATTATACAACCATTTTAGTTGGAATCAAAATAAGTTTTTCTTTAAGATTTCCTGATGTACGAGGGCCGTTCAAAAATTACGCGGACTGTGCTATTATTTACTCATACAGACGTCATATAGTTATGAAATTTCACAGAAATATGTATCTTAAAGATTCCAATAAATTTTGGAGAAAACTTTTGTATTCTAAAAAAGTTCTACTAAAATTAGCGGTATGTTGATATCGCTGATGGAGAGGTACGGAGCACAGCAAAAATATTGAAGCAAGAACATGCGGAATCCAAAATTTAACTCATTAATTTTCTATAATTCGTGATATTTTTCGACAATTTTTTCAAATGTATCTTTGAATTGCTCTATTATTATGCATTTAAATTTCTAACGTGATAGTTGAAGTACTAACAGAAATAAAGTGATTTTTCTCTGATGCGATTCCAGTGAAAACGACTGTGAAAATGACGTCTCCTGAATTGACGGCGCACCACACTTTTGTTAAATTATGTGTAATGCTCGAGATATCGCCAACATATATCCAAAATATGCTTAATAAAACATGTCGTAATTTAGGGTATTCGTGATATTCGTCCACAAAAAGCAAATTTTAGACCGCTAGACTTCTAGAAAAAGGCTATACGGGAGGACGGGAAAAAGATTATCGAGGAAAACTTTATCCGGACTGTAAAGAACGTGATTGAGACTCACCAATATCACACTATATGTCGTAAATACCTGCAGTTTTTGGTTTTAAAACAAAAAAGAAAATCATTTACTTGATTAATAGACTTAAGCTTGACAAGAAATGGTGTTTGGATGTTGAGTAGATAAGGTAATTCAAACTGTACAGATACTCTTGAGAAATTGTTGAGAAAATGAAAGCTCAATATAACATATATTTTAGTATGCCTGTGACGTCGAAGATTTTGCCGCTCCGTGACTAAATGATATGTCCTGAAAAATCACTCAAAATTCCAATTTACATTTTGATATGAAATTTTGAAGACCACATAAGTAAAGATTCTTGTATATTATCTGTAACATTTTGTCCAAGTATGTCGTCAAATATTTTTTCTGTGCAACAAGTCCGCTAACGCGCATCATGGAATATGCCAGCGGAGCAATTGCTATTCATAACGCCATGTTCACTAAATAACTTTGTTTATTTCTGAAGTAAATCGAAGTGATTCTATAGATGTTATATGCATCTTATGTATCTTATGGCATCCAGTTAAAAGAGGCGTCTGGTCGTCAAAACGTTGGCTGTCTATGCGAAAAATAATTAACCACACACTTTAATTATCAAAATATAGAAACCTACCACAAAACCCACAAATTAGAAATGAGAATCCCTCACTTTCAACAGCACACTTCATAATTTCATTTCTTGTTATAATAAGCTAATATTTGCATCAATATAAAATAATATACATTAAGTAATTAAATATACTTAGTCAACCAACCGAGTTCACCATGCGCCATACAGTCCAGAGTAGAAATATAACATTTCCTTTGCTCTTATTTTGAGTGAAATCTTTCCATTTCAGATGGAGAAGAAAGAAGCGAAACAGATTAAGAAATAGAAGCAAAAGACTGTTTTTGAAGTAAAGTGTATTTGTTTATTCTTTTTAATTTCCTATTTTTATTTCCGTGAAAAAAATCTGAATGAAGTATTTTTGCAGTACATTTATTTTCCTAAATATATCATCATAACAGCAGAAATACAATATATTTTTTTACAGAGATAATACTAGGGCTGTTCAATGAATGTCCTGAACATTATGACATACATCATATAAGCCATATGACATTGAGCTTGACTTTCTCTCATGGTTGAATCTTTAATGAATTGATAACAGTTGATGTGACCACTTTTTATTACATATAATCTCATTATGAGAAGCTGGGAAAGAAGGGGCTAATCGAGACAATGCATTATCAATGCTTGGTAATGAATCAGTTAACTAGATTGAAATTAAACGCTTCATTAAAGCTGCTGTAAAACATGTTAAGAATCCAAAAGAAAAATTCACTGCAATATGTGAAATTTACAGTAACCAAAGTCAGTTTTATGGACACATAAGCAGATGGATTTCAGTATATGGATAACAAAAATAATATACTGGGTTCAAAAATGTGTACCGTCCTTGGCGACAAGGATTTACAACAATCATTGCATTGTTTGCCAAAATTCAACACATTATCACGGATGATATTTGAGTGACTTTCAGAAACAGTGCAAATTTCATAGGCAGTTTAGATGCATCATTTGTGGGGGAAGGGGGGGGGGGTAGATCACATTGTAAAAAAAAGAGCTAAGTACTCTATTTTTCAGTAATGACTGAAAATGATAGCATATAAGAATATCTATATAGTAGTCTTTAAAAAGCAGACTTTTTGTTATCCATGTTTGTCTGAACAACACTTCAATACATTGCTTTAAACCCTCAAAGCAAATTAACAATACGACGCAGTTGACAATAACAGCAAAGGTCTGAAAAGAGCAAAGAGTTGCAAAAGCACAAACTGAATTCTCATTTGTTGTTCTAATTCTTATTTGTGGCGACAGTTCAATTTTTGGAGAAGTCTAGAAAGCAAATGTTTTGCAAAAAAATTGACAGCAAATTAACAATACGACGCAGTTGACAATAACAGCAAAGGTCTGAAAAGAGCAAAGAGTTGCAAAAGCACAAACTGAATTCTCATTTGTTGTTCTAATTCTTATTTGTGGTGACAGTTCAATTTTTGGAGAAGTCTATAAAGCAAATGTTTTGGAAAAAAATTGAATCATTAAGACTAAATTATTAAAAAAACATTTTTGTTTCTTTCAGAGCACCGATGACATCATTTATTGAAAAGCCCTTATATTAGCACAGACACAAAGTCTGACACATCTGTCAGGAAAAAAAAGGAAAATGGGAAAAATACAGGAAAGAGCATTGCACTTTGTTTATGTTGACTATAAAAATTCTTACCTGTACGATTTTATCCATAAGAAAGGGGCATGAACACAGTTTCAACTGAAGTTTTTTCACCAATTTTAATTTTAACAATTCCTAACCAGGGCAATTCTAATGATTAGCAAAAATTTGAACATCATTTGTTGATTTACAAAGGAGATACAGGTATGAGAATTCTTCATAATGTAAACAAGGCTCGTGCCTTGTTTTTGTTTTCATTTAGGAAATCTGTTATAACAAAACGAGATTCAAAAGATCATTAGAAAATGTCTAATCGTATTTGGAATTAACTTCTTTGTTGCAAAAAAATCTGCTTTGACCAACACTATCAGCATTTTAACCTATAAACTTTTAGATATGAATCCGCAAAACTATGGAATTCTTTACCAGAATCTTTTAGAAATATTACTACCTTTAACCAATTCAAATCAAATATAATTTGTTGGTGTTGAAATTGTCGCTAATTTTATTTTTAGAAACTATAATAAACAGGGTTTATTTTATTTTTAGTTTGTTGGCCTTAATGTAAAAAATACCATGTCATTGTAAAGCACCACGGAGGAAAATAATGATATTTAGTAGTGTGGTATAATTTTTAAATACTTTTTCTTGTTATCACGCATGATTGTTGTATTATTTTATGTAACGTTATTATGTAATTAGAAATTAGCTCTTCATGACTAATGTTTTTTGTTGATGTACCCGACTTTAGATAAAAATCATCTTTCATATTTGGATATTTTACCGGAAAAAGACGTTGATGGTATTTTTACAATCAAGCTTTCTGATAAACCTGATGACTTAAGCTCTTCAATCGTCGACTTCTCTTACTTTTACAACAATATACCTCATCACCGAGATGTATCCATATACGGAGTATATATATATCTTAGTTGATTCTATATGGAAGAGCATGTTCTACGTATGAAAAAAAAATGCAACGAGGTAAATTATTGACAAACAGTGTAAAATTCTTTTTAAAAATAAATGGTATTTTAAAAAATAAAAATATTTATGCTTTTAGAGGGAACCAGCCCTCAGGATATAAATAAGAAGACATGTAAAATAAGCGAATCTGAGATGGCGAAAGATTTACATCCCCTTTGAAATAATAATCAAAACGATCATTTATGATATATTTTGCATACAAATAAAAATTGTAAAATATTACTTTAAAATTATACAGAATTTGTTATATGAAAAGTGTATGAACATTATTTCTTTGTTTGCATATATATTATTTAAGCATTCTGAGAAATGCCTTGCATATATTTACATTGTTGTAAGTGTAATGGTGCTTAGTCAGTGCCACCATCCCTGGGAGCTGCCAATTTGATTAATAATTTATATAAAAAAATGTTTTTAGTAGCATCTGGGAAATAAAGAACTAAAAAAGATATTTCATTAGGTGCCCACTGACCTACTAAAAATCAGCATTATCTTACTAGCATCAGAGTATTAATAAAAAAAAGGAAAGACAATTAATTGAATTATGAAAATTATAGATACAAAGTGAACTAGAGGTATTGTCAGCAATGAGCTCACTAAATGATACATGTACCCTGTCGCCGCCCATACGGTTAAAATGACAAAATCCATGTTTTGTTGTGGCCGGAAAACCCAAAAAATCTGTTTCGGATCAAAATGTAACATAGGAGGTGCACAATGGCAATCTATAATAAATATTCTGTGAAAGTTTCATTAAATTTCACTCTATGGTATAAGAGGACTTGCGGAAGAGATGGGTACTCAAAGTGTGATAGATAGACGGACGGACGGACGGCTAGACGGAAGGACGGACATATACTGATTACTATATTCCTTCCAGCTTTTCAAGCGGGGGTATAGATATAATGATTAAATAATCATATAAGGCACTTTTATTGCTTTTAATGGCAATGCTGAAATTCAGTGAATATTTCCAGTAGAATGATGCTACTTCCGGCAGCTTTTCAATTGACCTTTAAATTTATAAACTGCATCAGGATAAGGATAAGTAGCATTAAATCAGCAAGCATAAGAAGCATTCATTTAAGCAAGACAATAAAGCATTCAAATTAGCATTGATGCTGTAAAAATATATAGTTTCCTTCACTATGTACCATCTTCCGAGAAGCGTTAAACTCAAGACAATTCATTTAAAAGAAATTACATAACAATTTGTATAAATTAAAAGAACTCAAAATTCAACATCCCGACAATACTTGGAGGTAATGTGAGCAATGAGCTCACTAAGTGATATCCCCGCCTTCCAAATGAATATAATGGCAGTGTCCATGTTTTGCTATGGGATACCCAAGATCAGAATGTAAAATAGGAGGTGCACAATGGCAGTATGTAATAAAAGATCCTGTGAAAGTGTCATCAAATTCTATTCAGTGCAAAGTGAATAGTTGCGGATGAGAAATGGGTACCCTAAGGGATACAGACGGACGGACATCACGATTACTTTATAACCCCCCCCTCCCCACTTTTTAAGCGGGGCTAAAATGAGGTCATGAAATGGACATATATGTATGTTGTTATATTTAAACTGAATATATACAGTATATAAACATGACAATAATGACAAGAATGCGTTATATCTACTTTCCTTGTGCAACAAAGTGAAAATCTGATTGATAAAAAGTAAGTTAAGAAATATTTTACCCTGTGTTAATACAATTTCACATAACCTTATGCATTTCATGCAGTTGCTGAATAAAAACGTTCTAAAACAATAAAAGAAAAATAAACTAGACAATTTAAATTTGGGTAAGACACTTACAAACACTCGTTTCTTTTTCCTTTCAATATACATGTCTATTATTCATTTAAGAAAAGCAATTTTATTAAACTTCTATTTTGTTTTTAGATTTGTGAAACACATTCAGAGATTATTTCGATCTGAGCAGTCTCTTTTTCATTAAAAAGATTGTTATACAATTGATGATTGAAAGCTAGGTTTTTCACGCTGAAACAATAATATTATCAATTTAGTCAATCAACTTAATACGATTTTCATAAATGGAGGAATGTATGAAATTATCCACCCCCCCCCCCCCCTACTTTAAAGGCAACAAACCCTGTTTGCGAAAAAATTCTGATTTTAATCATTGTTTATTATCAAACCTGACTTCAATGATGGAAATCTTTTAGTGGTAAATTCAAACAAAGTCAACTAATGATGGTAACATTGACTTTTATTTCCTATTGCTTATAGTTTTCAGATATAATCATGCAACATTTACATACAGTTTTGAAACCATTATTTAAATGAGCTTTATGATTCTAATATTATTCTAATTACTAGTATCTTGCATCATTAAACCAAATATTTCCATTTCTATTAGCTTACTCCGTGATATCTCTTTGAAGGTTAATGGAGTTTATTTCCTGATTATTCTACCAGAATGTAAATTAATCAAACTCATAGGCAAAGAGAAATGGGGGCTTGTACGCATGTTAATCTTGAGCACGTCTGTCTTTGTATCTGACGCTAGGGAAGCCGAATATGCATGTAAATCTCGTGCGGTTGTGTTTGGGTTTTGTCGTCAGTGGGCGAGGACTATTGAAATTGACATGGGAGTAATTTTAATCTATGAATCTCATTTTTTTTTTAACTAAATCTACACTTTTATTTCATAATGAAATGAAATGAAAGTATACGTAATCATTGTCTAGCTGGTATAGTATGCCAAGGACATCACCAATAGTGGGAAATGTGAGATAATTTATCCCTCGATTCCCGCTATCGTTAATGCACTGGTATACTATACTGCCTAGACAGTGATTCCTTACATATAAAATTCCAATTAGAACAATTATTTTTGTTTTGTACATACGAATATTACAATCATTCTGTTATTTCTGACGTTGGAAGAAGTGTTTTATTTTATTTTCTATGTATTATTTGTTTTATTTGAATACTGTAGAAGTACTTTTATCAGCGTAATATTAATTTACGCTTTAAACGCGGTCACAAACTTTCCGCGGAAATAAGTCTCATCGAACTTAATTCAAATATAAGGCATATAAGGAAAAGGAGAGTCTTAAGATATCCGCGTAATTTTCTATCAGCGGATTAAATAGAAATAGAGATTCCGCGGAATTATGACCCCGTGGAAAAAGTACGTCTACAGTATGCCTACAGTATATCATGGTTTGAATAAAAAGTCATTTATGAAACTGCCATATGTTATTCACTTATCTGTCCATTTTTCTCAATCTATAAGTATTCCTTCCATTAAACAAGGTAAAGCTACAAAGGCGATTTTTGTTCATTCCTAAATTTATTTCTATATAAGGGTGTCATCCTTTCTTATTCAGAATCTTCGTATAGGTTATGGGACTAATAACAACAGGTTCCGTTTTATGTGAAGGCTGCAATATATATGCATAATTCATGTTCTGAATTTTCTGCGTGGATGGAATAATTCCTGATGAAAACCTTTCCATAATTTCATGTGTATTACTTTTTGAAGTAGTATGTAGTGACGGAAATTCTTGATATTGTTTTTTTCTTTAAGTAAATGAAAAAAAACACACAGATGAGAGTATTAAACAGGGAAATGAGTCCCCTTATGACATACAAAGACGATGTAATCTCTTCTATTTTAACTGTTGTTTTCGGTAAGGTAACTGTAGATAAATGCAATTAGCCCTATATATTGTCTTGCTAATAACCTTGCGCAAAATAGAAATTAGCCTGTTGCTCATCTGAAAATAAAGGTCAAGTTTATCATCTGAAGCAAGTCCAGTAGCGTGCATCCGTAGATATATTAAACATGCAACAGGGAGTTTATAGTAACTTTTAAATAAAACCCGTTTTTAATAATGATGAAGCCTTATCACAAACTGCAGCATCAGAAACCTGGACACGTACAATGTGATACCGTATAAGCAGAATTTTTAGCAAGGATTTAATTTTGGCATTATTAGCGAGGGTGCTGATATCTCTAAAATTGAATGTCAATAAAAATTAATTGCGTTTTATTTGTAAAAGTTTCTTAGCATTTTAAAATCACTAAAACTACTCCTCCCTAAAGATATATTACCAAATTTCTGGGACAAATACATGTAGCTAAATTTGCGTTTTGCTCAAATTTCAAGTTATATGGTATATACTAAAGGCATCTTCCATGGGTCTATGATTCATGTAGAGGAGAGAAGTACATGTACTTGAAAAGAGAATTGCTGAAAATCTCTCATTTGTGAAGCCGATGTCGACATCATTAAGGAGAGAATTCAATGTAAACCTCGTGTGGCAGATCTGATTCATTTATGCATGTACAATTTATCATATGAATTGTCCATTTTATTGTATATATATAGTTGACCGAATGATGCTGAAGACCTGCTACCAATGCATCCTTATGCAGACCATTTGCCAAAAGATTGATTGTGATCGATCAAGACTTTCAATACGCCAGTTTCGAGATTGTAACTCTCCTACGATAGAGGCGCAAAAAGTATCCATTTCGGAAGGTAGGTGGGACAGGTTGTCTCTGTACATAAACGTGCATAAGTAAATGAACGATATTTATGGCTTTTAAAATTTATTAAATGTTATAAAAAGATAATGATATTAAGCAGTGATGCATTTGATGATTTTATCAAGTTCAACTATGCATATTTACAAATCTACTTTAAATCATAGGTACTTGAAAACGAAAGAAACGTCATAGTCTTAATAAAAAGTAACCGATTTTCTTGATCGTACAACCTTTTTTTTTTTTTTTTTTTTACAAAAAAAAAGTTTGTGGGTTTTTTGAAATTATAGTAAGGAAAAGAATCAATGTGTCATTTAGATAGCCTACGTACAATAATCAGATGCATATGTATCGGTTTTATTAGAGGTCCTAATTTCTTCCCTCGTCTGAAAAGTCTCACTTCCACCGACATTTTCTTTTTTGTTACGATTTTTTAACTTTAAAAAATGACTTCTTTAAATTAATTCGGTTATTCTCGAAATGTAGAGTGCATCCTGACAATCATGTAGTTATGATAAACCAGTATATCGATGATACAATGTATCCAATATATAAATATCAAATATAGTTGTCCCACCTGTTTGTTTACGCGGCAACGAAACTCTCCTCCTTAACGAAAGAGCGCACCAAGGGAAATAATCTCGAAACTTGCGTATTGATTTTATGATTTAGGGTTTGGTCGGATGACAGAGGATAAATCTTCTGGATTATTGGGTCCATTTTACTCCTTCATTTGTATTGTTTTGAACTTTTGAGCTTGAATAATACTCGATATCCTCATATCTAATTTCATATAAATAAAAAAAAAAACAATAGAACGTTTTTGCACTTCAATTGAAATCCTGATTCGAAAAAGAAACCAATTTTACAATCAATTCATTTTAAAGGGAAAGGGTCATTAAAAAAACAAAAATAATAAGAACAAAAACAAAAACAAAAAAAACGGAAAAAACCATGCAAGCATATATAAACATTATAAAACATTTTAGAATATTAAAATGATAAATTATATATAGATGATGTATGATGTATGATATAAAATGCATGATACAGTAAGAAGCAATTTATAAAATGTCTAGTATGCCAAAAATAAAAGTTAATATTTTCATTATAAGCAATGGAAAAAATCACAAAATGTCATAGAATAAATGAATAAAAATTAAGTTTATGATTCTTCGGTATTTTTCTTTTCTTTTCTTCGCCTTCTAACGACAAAAACAATAATGACCAAAATTACAATAAGTGCTACAGAAAGTACGACAGACAATACTATTATAGTCTTCTTTTCTCCAGATAGGGAAGTTGTCGGAACATCAGAACCAGTAGGGGACTGATTGGATCCCCCAGTTTGTGCTTGGTATGTGGCATTGCCATCATTTGATTTTAAAAATGCCTCGCCAGGAAGTTCAATAAAAGGCGGTCTTCGAATTCTTGGAAATTCTTGCTTGGCAAAGGACATTGATTTTACACAATAATTAACTTCACACGATTCTGCCAAAGCTGCTAGATGCATGCTATACCCAGTTGGACAGGCACGGGGCCATAAATCAGAATTGGCCGACAAGAGGTAAGAACTCATGCTTTTTGTGTTGTTTTTGTCACCTTCCTCTTTCATGATTGCCAATGGATTACCCGACTTGCAACTAAACAGTCCAGCAAACGCTACAGAGTATCGAAAACCTAGTTCAAAGTCGTCTGATACACAAACTTTAATATCTTCACTCATAGTGAGGGGATAAAAATATAGTGGGCATTCGTGTTCCTGGGTAAGTGGATTTTCTATAGTACTTGTATAAATTCCTCCAAAAAGAAAACCGGCGTGATGAGAATTTTGACCCATACCTACACACCAATAGGTTTCATAGTATGCTATGCCATATACATAATAATTTGAACAACAAGTCGATAGCCAAAGGAAACCGCATGATGTACACCTTTGACGAGTTTCTGAAGAAGAAGTTTGTCCTTTAAGCAGGAATACCGACTCGTATCCCGTTGGGCAAGAATACTCTCCTGTTAAAGGGTTTTTCTGGCGTGTGCATATATTTTTGTACAGTTGTCCTGTTTGTGTGCATGTTTGGTAAATTCCTCCGAATGTGTAGTTGCCCATTTCATTTAAACATGTGCCATCATCAAAGTTGGCCATATATGAAAAGTTAGGCGAATCAAGTTTTGTACACCCACGATAAGTGTTAAATCTGAAGTACTCTTCTACTGCATTCCTCACGTGTTGAAATGTAGCGTAAATAACAGATGAAGAGTATTTTGGAAAGTTACGCTGGTTAATTAGTTCGTAAATCGGTGAGCCGCTACGGTCGATTGCAACCAGATTGTCTTTCACTTCAGATGCCCAGTCATCCAAGGAATAGTTGTTTGGCTTGAAAATCGGTCCTCCCTGGGCATGGATAAAACTGCTTAATTTATTTTTCTCATAGCTTTGTATGAACTCAGAAGAATCTCCATGACTGCTACCTATAGAGAATTTGAATTTCTTCCGAAAATTTATACTTGCCGAATTAATAATTTTAGTCCTGTCTGCATTCACACTCTTCAAAAAAGACGACTTTATTTCATCGATTTGTAAAATAACAGCTCCCGCATCAATGCTCGATACGATATGTGTGCCGAAATCTCGAACCAGTACTTGACTTTCATATTCAGCTACTGAAGAAAAATTCTTCTGTATATTTTCTGCAATGTTTTGTATTTGTTGACGAAATTCTGGATTAAGGTGTGAAGTCTGCTGAAGTTTGGCTGAATAACGGACATATCTTGCCTGGACCCGTGTTGTAGCTGCATTGTTCGCAATTTGATTTTTCTTAATTCTCTCTTTTTCAAAAGAAAATGCCCCGCTTATTTGAAATTTTCCATTAAACCCGGAACCAATATTTATTGAATGCGACGTTGTTGAAATATATTCAGTCCAGTGATGAAAATATTCACCTAATACTTCTACCTCACTTGTTTTGATCGGAACCGTGAAAACATTGTCGGGTATTAGATATTTGCCATCATCGGTTGTATCACACTCAGAATAATTGAAAGAAACGATCAATCCTGAGACCTTGTTTCTAAGATTATCCCATCCCGTTCCTGGTAAAACTCCGAAACGGGTAACGCCGTTTCCCATTTCTGCAAGGCATTTTCTGGCATCTCCAAACTTGGCGGAATCTAGTGTATTTGAATCGGACTGTGTTCCGCTCACAATAGAGACTACCAATAAAATATAGCTCCCAATCAGAGCAGTGTGGAAAAGTTTTTCTGTCGTCATTTTAGCATTGTATGTGCTTCTAAGAACGAGAAGACCCTTAAATACCAAAAGGAATATGGTACGCACATTTTTAAATAAATTTAAAGGTTCAATAGTTTTAAAAAAAGGCTTCATTCTAAGCAATACTTATGCACTCGATGTTTACATAATACGTGGTCAGCGTAAAAAATAAAAATTTAATAATAATAATAAAATTTAATAATAATAATAACGAGCGCTAATTACATATTCTAAATATCTGAAGCACGATCTGAAAACTGTATCATAAGTTAAATTTAGTCAGAAAAATTCTTGAGAAGATTTTAAAGGATTTTCCCAATTCGTTTAAAGTCACCATTTCGTATTATCTATGGTCGATACGATATTGTAAGCAAATACAATTTATCATCAAATCAAATACTGACTGACGATTATCATACTTAGCGTTAATGAATTCTTTATGTACACTGAATTGACAATGGAATTTTTCGTTATTTTCCGATCATGTCATGTCACACGGTGGTTTTGACCGGTCGAAAGTGGATGCTCACATCTTCATGACGCATAGTTCCACCTCCGATTTTTTGTAGGACCGTGCTTGCTCTGCTCCTGTTTTGTATTGTTTTATGGACTTTTGATTTTAAATACTGTTTATCAAATATCTATAATTTAATTTCAGTTGTAACACGTCATTTGATTAGTTAAACGGTTTTATCCATTTTGTATAACATAACTTGCCTACGTCACAATGAGTTACGTAAAAAACGTATTACTCCGCTTGACATTAACTTTTAAAATATGCTATCTTTGAAGCCTTTTTCCGAAGGAAAAAATAGAAAAAATGTATCATTGTCTACATTGAAATTAAATTATAAGGAATGAAGCTTATTTCAACTTATGTTATACGATATAACATAACTTGGGGCTTTTTTTTTATAAACGGCTTTTTTATAAACCCGCACGATTTCAGATTTTAAGTGCTTATTCACACATCAATGATAGAAAAATAATCTTCAAATATCTTGCTGGTTTTGTTCCTTGAAGAAAATTTGAATTTAAGAAATTTAAGAAAATTAAGAAAAATATGCTTCTTTAAGTATAATTTTTTTTACGGATGAGAAAAAAACATAATTTAAACGAAATGTTATTCTAGACATTGAATTCAAAACTCTACTTGAGTCATAGAAAAGATATGGGCACATTGATTAAATCAATGAATAAATGATTCCTCATTGGATAATAAAGTGTTTTTATCACACATCAATGATAGAATCATGGACTTTAAATCAGTTTATAAAGTTACGCAATATTTGGCCTTTTCCTGTGAACCATAAATGATGACCTTTGAGTCCTATTCTTGGCGCACTTTTATTTAAAATAAACTTTGGGCCATTATATTTCACGTTCATATTGTTTTGAATTTATGGACAAGTTCCTCCATTGTTCCTTGTTAAAAGCAAATATATGTTTCTGTATTTATTTAAGAACTTAATCGCTGGATTCATCAGTTGAGCATATTTTGAAAAGATGAATAGATAAACAATATTAGAACAAGCGCAAGAAAACTTTAACATAATAAACATTTCAAATCATGTTACGTTTTCTTGAGGAAATATTTCAAATTCTTCCTTACTGAGAAAAACGACAGTGCTCTTAGTTTGCCGACATGAGTTATATAATTGCTCATCTTGACATAAACATGTCAATATATTTTTTATTTTGATTTGCCCCATTGTCATTTTTTGGCATCGTTCAATTTCATTTCGGAGAATTGCTTCAAAATGATTTTCTAGTTACTGTTATTATTGCATAAATTGAACATTCAAGCTAAATGATTTTTGTATGTCTGTTGTGTCTTCAAGGTTATACATGCATGTTACAGTTCAAATAACTTTAACTTTATATATAAATGTTCTGGAAATATGACAATTTACCCGTAATACTGGTATATTTATATACTTTATTTTGCAAACAAATTTTTTCTGTGTCACCAATCCTTTACATTATTTTGAATTCTATCATAAGGCTATTTCGTACATTTTCAATGTTGAAGTGTTATGAAATCCATGCATCTTGTCTGTAATATGACACTATCAATTTTAACCTGAAGATTAATCTGCTTCTATAAAAAGCAAAAATTCAAGTTTAGATTTTTTTGTCAGTTTACCCCTACCTATATGTTAAAATAAATAAATATTTTAAAATAAACATGTATAGTGAAAATATAATGTGCATGTATTTATAACCAGGATGTTATTTGTTGTAGATGTGAACGCCTTACAGAATTTTCTAAATGAAACATTTTGTATACTTTAATAAGAGAATGTAGTTTTCAAACAGCACACTGAATGAAAAAAAACACCATATGTAGGATACTTATATATGAACCAGAAGTCTCTGTCGAATCTGTAGCTCTACTGTTATGGGACATAACAGTTTACAAAATCAATAAATAGAATAAAGACAAAAACCGATCTTAATGTAGTCTACTCATGTGCCAAGTTATATTGAAATCAGACCAAAACTGTAGGAGTAGTAGCATTTTGAAAGAATTTCACAGAAATTTCTATTTTAAGTAACCACGGTAACACCGTTCATCCGAATCAAGAACCGATATACAGAATAATGTATCTTAGTGTAGTCTACTTGTGTGCCAAGTTATACTGAAATCAGACCAAATCTGTAGCAGAAGTAGCATTTTGAAAGAATTTAACAGAAATTTCTATGTTAAGAAACCACGACAAAACCGTTCATTGAAATCAAAAACCGATAAACAGAATTAAGTATCTTAGTGTAATCTACATGTACTTGTGTGCCAAGTTATATTGAAATCAGACCAAAACTGTAGGAGGAATAGCATTTTGAAAGAATTTCACAGAAATTTCTATTTTTAGTAACCACGGCAACACCGTTTATCCATATCAAAAACCGATACATAGAATTATGTATCTTAGTATAGTCTACTTGTGTGCCAAGTTATATTGAAATCAGACCAGAATTGTAGAAGGAGTAGCATTTTGAAAAATTGTTTACAGACAGACGGACCAGCTAGACAGTTATACAAACGGACGGTCAACGGACGCATTACCATCGCATAAGCTCTTCTGGTCTCTGACCAGTAGAGCTAAAAATAAATCACAGCAAAAATAAAAGAAATCTGGTAAGAAAACAATAAGTAAAGAAAATATATTGAAAGAAACAAAAGCACTGATTGTTTTACCTCTCTTGCAAGAAATTTCACTAATATGAGACGTATAAAGAACATTGAAAAAAGTGATATGTTATTATTGTGAAGTATCATGATACGATTTGAAAGCAGATAGACATAATTTTTATTTTTTGTAAATTATTTTCTTTTCTTTTTCTGCTCTGCATAGTGGATCAATATTCACGACTTAAGGCGTGACATCGCGATATCTCATGACTTCGATCTTTAAAATGTTACATTTTGCGAAAAGCAATTATTTACAGTTAAGGACATATTGATGATACAAACAAAAAATAGACGCTGGATCTGTATATATTTTTGACCTAATTTCACTGCAAATAAAATTTGTTTTGGATAGAAAGAAATTGTAAACCTTCTGTGATGTTCAAACGATTGTCCATCTGATACCATCCTTATTAATCTATACAATTTTTTTCACATAAGTTCTTTTGTATCATCAGCACTTAAATTACGATTGATTTTTGAAATACCAAAGGGAAAACAATTCTACTGCACCATTTAAAAGTTACTGATATTTTTTTCAGAATAAACAAGCCAAACAAGATGTCCATTTTTAGTAACCATGCACCATTCATTGAAATGAAAACTGGTGAAAAGAATTATGTTTCTTAATATGGTCTACTTGTGTGCCAAGTTATATAGAAATCAGACCAAAACTGTAGGAGGAATAGCATTTTGAAAGCATTTCACCGAAATTTCTATTTTTAGCAACCATGGCAACATCATTTATCGAACAGAATTATGTATTTTAGTATATTCTACTATATGTTAAGTTATACATGTACTTTGGTTATATCAGACCAAAACTGTAGGAGGAGTAGCATTTTCAAAAATTGTTTACAGACAGACGTACAGCTAGACAGACGGACGAAGGACGCATTACTATCGCATACGCTCTTCTTCTCTGACCAGTAGAGCTAAAAACTATGCAGACGGATTTTTATAAAATTTGCAGAGAATGTAAAACAAAAGTAAGAGAATCATATAACTCAGTAATTTCAATGGTAAGTTGGCGATTTTTCAGCCATATTTGGGCATTTTAAAAAAGTTTTCCTCATTATAAAGTTTTCTTCATTCAAATTGAAAAAAAAAAAAGATGTGTATGATGAAGAACATATGTCATTTTTTTTCCATTATATTTTTAAAATGTAATAACGGACTAAATTGATCTACATGTTTATAAATAAATGTTTTCGATGCTTTTCCTGCCAATTTAAATGACAGAGATATTATCTGTTTGCCTTGACACACATTGTACCCTGTTAAAAATATAACTGATTTTGAATTTATTTTTTGTGTTTTCTAGAAAGTCTACCCGATTTCTCAGAACGATTTTAAATCAAATGTCATTCTCCATTAAGAGCAAAATCAGAGCATGGAAAAAAAATGAATTCCAGGTAAAGAATGTTTTGAACAAATTGAAATTTGTTCTGGAATGTGTACAAACAAGGGGATCAAGAGTCACCTGAATATAATGAACCACTGCAAGAGGATCTAGAAAAGTATAAAATTAAATACTAACTGATAGCAGGGACCATAAACTAACGAGTATATATAGGTCCCTGCTGATAGTTGTAGCTATGTTGATCACACTTAAGAGAGATGGGGTATTCAGTGATAAATGAAACAATGTCTTGTAACCGAAGACTACTCATTATTCATAAATAATTTAATTTCACTTGTATTAAGCAATTTCATTGGCTGAATCATTCAGAGGAACATATAATATTTTCGATAACATAACTTGCCTACGTCACAGTGAGTTACGTCAAAAACGTATTATTCCGCTTGA